AGACAGCTCAGGGGCTCCCTGTACCTCCTCCCCACGTGCTTCGGGAGGCCTCCCTGGCCGAGCCCTCCTGGGGCTGAGAAGAGGGGACTCATGCGGGACACCTTCCCACAGTTCCCCAGTGAACACTTGCAGAGGAGGCCTGTCTTCCTCCACAGCGGGGGCCATGCATACAGGGCTGTGTCCCAGCTGCAGTCTCCTCTCTTGCTTTCTCCTCAGAACTGGGGGCTCCTGAGCACAACGCTGGGACTGGGAACGCCTGAGAGCTGGCTCTGTCTCCTCCCTTAGGCAGAGGCTCTGAGAGCAGGTCGCGTCTTTTGCCTCGGGCTGAGGGCGTATGAGAGCAGGACTGTTCTCCCCCCTCAGCTCAGACACCTCTGGTGCTCAGCAAGGGCTGCTCAGCACATATGTGTGTGCTTGTGCGTGTGTGTGTGTGTGTGTGTGTGTGTGCACGCGCACGCGCATCTGGGGACCGTAGCTGAGCCTCCCAGGCTCCCTGCCTCTGCTTTCCAACCCCGGTACCTGGTTGCCAGCTACAGGGCGTGGGAGGGTGGGCTGGGCAGGCAGGGCTGGGGAGGGCCTGGGACGGCGGTGGGGCCCTCTGTCCTCCCCTCTGCCTTGGCCCTGTGTGGTGAGGGGGGGCAGCCCTGAGTGCTGAGCCCCCGCCGGGGCCATGTTGGCCTCTCCTTGCAATAAGTGAGGAGACAGCAGCTATTAATATAAGATGAGTTCACGGGCTCACGGCTTCCGCAGGCTGGAAAACAGGCTCCCGGGGCTGGGGGCTATGGCAAGGCTTGGCTGTCAGATTCCCTCCTGGAGTCTGGAAACCGCCAGCCCCGCATCCCCCCAGCTCCTTCCGAGCAGAGACCTGCACGCATGCAGACACATGCAGGCACATATGCCCAGGCCCCTGGCTGTTCAGAGAACACACACACACATGCACACACATGCAGACATGCACGTATACCCAGACATCTGCACACTAATGTACACACACTTGTGCACACAAATACATAATTGCACATGTGCACACAGACTATGTCAGCTTTATGTGCATGTTTGCATGCTGGAGCATACACACCCTTGCACACATGTATGTATACACAGACACAGACTTATCCTGTATACACATATATGCACACAGGTCTAGGCAAGCTTGCAAATTCAAAACCATTTGCACACCATTGCACACCCACATAAATACACACAACTGCATGTGTGCATACAGTGTCCATAGCCATGTATACACACATTGCATGCAGAACGACATTCAAGGACTTGAATGCATGTGCACACCCTTTCACACACAGCGTACACACTTGCACATGCTCCCAGCTGCTGTCTGTGCACAGCAATCATGAATTCATGGGCTGACCCTTGGTTCCAGCACTAACCGGCTGGCTCAGCCCTCCCTCCTCCCACTTCACGATAGGCAGCTCATGCTCCTGCCAACCCCAATGCCTGCCTTCAGCTTCCCGCCCCCCAGGGGTCCCCAGATCCCTGATTAACCCCCTCACTAATTGGCCACCAGCCCCTTGACTTTGCTGCAGGCCTTCTCAGGAGCTGGGAGCGAGAGCTGCAAATTGGCCAAGCAGGATGGGTCTGGGGAATAGCGTGCACATGAGGGGGAGGTTGGGGGTGCTGCAAGCCCAGGCAGTGTCTGGCTGGAGCCAGGCAGGGCACCCCCTATACCAGGGCTGGGTGCAACAGTGGCGTCATACTCTTTTGGGAGGACACTCCTATGATTCATGGGTACACAGTCACATGAAGCCATCCCTGCATGCACATTTACACACACTCACCAGTGGTGTGTGTAGACATGTTTTACCCCACTCTGTATACCAATGCATGTGAACATTCGCACATACCTAAATATACTCATGAACATACCAAGGATGATGCAAGCAAAATTTTACATGTACCTAAAGTCACCTGCCACATATGCAGACACTATTTATATATGTACATACACACACAAATCTGCCTCAACTAAACACAAAAATGCAGTTATATGTATATGGGCTTGCAAACACACACACTTACATGTTATACATACCTATGAATGTCCTAAGTGTACATGTAGGCACGCACCAACATACATCCACATGTGACTGTACACACATGGAGTCCTGACATGCATGCATGTGTGTATATTCCTTGATGAACAAGCAACCAAGTGGCCACAGGCTGGGAAGAACCCTCTTTCCTTACATAAAAGGAAGCTTGAGGTTTGTTCAGTCTACTGGTGGGGTAGGGAGCAGTGGAACCCACCCAAGTTCCAAGTTGCCTTTTCCAGCCTCCATGCTAAACGTCTAAGCCCGGGACCACCTCTGGTTTCCCCTGCAAGCCTTCAGGCAGCCACAGAGACCCTGTCAGGGCTTCTAGACAAAAGGGCAGAGCCTCTGGCTTTTAGCTTTGCAGTTCCAGACCTCTTGGCTAGGGCCCAAGCCCACAGGTGCTCTGCTCTCTTTTAGGCAGACAGAGGCACTGAAAACTAGAGGGTCTATTTCTGTGTCTGCTGCCAGCCTGCTGTGTGACTTTGGGCAAAGTGCTGTGCCTCTCTGTGCCTTGTTTCCTCATCTGTAAAATAGGAATAAAAGGTTTTGTGTCAGCAATCCTTCCAAGACTGTCCTGAGGAGTACATAGGTTCATGATTATGATTCACGCTTTACTCAGGCACACGCGTCTGAGAGCAGTGTCAGTGCGCAAGACGGTCGGACGCCAGAGTGGAGGGGCTGGAGACAGCACCACGGGCAACTCTTTGTTGAATGGGCAAGGAGGCTGAGGCCCAGAGAGGCATCACAAAGATGGGAGCTAGAAGACCCAATCTCTGTCTTCTCAGCCAGGAGTCTGCTCGTCTTTCATGTTGTATGCAGAGCGTGAGTTCACGTGTGCACTGTGGACATGTGTGCGCAGTTCCGTGGGCAAGCACAGGGAGGACCCTTTGTCCCAAATATTACCTGCCTTCCTGTCACCAAGGGACAATTCTACCATGAAAGATTCCTTTGGATGTTAAAGGCTTTTTTTAAGACCTCAATCTTCAAGAGTGCCCCCTAGGCACCCACACCTCCTGAGGCTGAGGCACAGTGGGGCAGGGGGGCACCTGAAACTGCTCCCAGCTTTGTGATCCAGGAGGGAACTAGCTGACAGTCACCCCAGAGCAGAACTTCCAGGAAATGGTGCCAGGTTGCCCTGGCCACTGGGCAGCCAGGAGGGGGCAGTGAGGAACTGGCAGAGGCAGCGAGTAGGGAGGGTGGCTCCTGAGGACGTCCTGTGCGTGTGCCTGGGATTGTGTGGGTTCCTGCGATGGTATGCTGACTTGCATCCTTGTCCAAACAAGGGCATGGGTCTGTGGACAATGTGTGCATGTGTCCCTGGGCCTGGGTTCTCATGTGTGCCCACTTACACGTGTCTCCTTGAATGTATACGTGTCTGAGTGCACACAAATGTATGTAAATGTGTGTCTGTGTGAAGCTCCCACCCGCACCTAGGGAACCCACTTTGTTCCTGGGCAGCTGTGCAGGGTACTTCCTGCTTTAAGGGTCTATCTAGGGCAGCTGGGTCCTCAGTCGTGCTCGCTTGATTTCAAAGCAAAGCAAAAATAACCATAGCCTGTTATTGCACCTGTAAAACTGGACACCAGGGGGAGGGGGAGATAAGAATCGAAACCTTTAACATGCTCCCTACAACTCTAAAGACTGTGATTCTAGATGGAGAAATGCTTAAGCCGTTTAAATTGCGCGGTGGACAGAGCATGGGCTCTGGCTCGAGCCCTGCGTTTGAGCCTGAGCCGTGGCTGTTTCTGGCCAGCTATGTGATCTCAGGCAACTCCCTTCACCTCTGTGAACCTGTTTTTCTCGTATGTTAAATAGGGGACCCCTGCTTCTCAAGATTGGAATAAAATACATGCAGTCGTTGGCAGGTAGTGGGCGCTCGATAAATGCTCATTCCTCTCAGATCAGCCCAAAGAGGTGACGAGACGCGCACAGGGTCACAGCTCCCGAGTGGCGAGCCAGTATTCAAGCTCAGGCCTCTTGCTTCCCAGAACCACATTCCTTCCCTCAATTCCCTAGCAAGGGCGGCTCCCGACACCACCATTTTGTCTTCTGCCAGGGCGGGTGTCTGGCTGCCTGTCAGTCAGGCCTCGGGAAGCCAAGTGCTGACTAAACACAGGCCCGAGCAGGCGGGTGGGGTGGAGGGCTCCGCAGGGGCAGCCCCCTCCCCTGCACCCCCACCTCCAGCGATGAGCTCAGAGCGGCTGGCGCAGCAGTTGCTGACAATTCAAAACTTCTGCCCCCTCTCCTGGGACGCCAGTGGGTGACTCTCTTTCTGAACAGCAGGCGTGACCCGCAGAGTCACCAACCCTGCTCCCGCCCCTCTCCCTGGGGCCACCCCACTGCGTCTGCTGGGCCCTGAACCGGGTGTCTGCTCATAAATTACCCCCAGGGACAGTTACCCGCAGCAGCTGTGCTCGGAACAACCGTTGCTTCCTGGGTAGGTCATTTTTTTGGGTCAAAATATAAACCCAGCCCCCTCGCTTTCCCCAGGCAGGAGAGGGGGCGTGTAGCAGCCTAAACCTTTTATCGGATTCCATTGTAAATCGTTCTATTTAAGGTAAGTTGCTCGGGTCTGAGAGGCAGACAAGATGCCGGCCAGATGTTGGGCGGCAGCATCAGCATTCAGCCCGTGCTCCTCTCCTGCCTGACACGAGGAGTTGCCAGCAGCTCCCTCCAGCAGCTCCCGAACACCCTTCCCCACGGTGACGGTGACGGTGACGGTCTCGGTCTGTCTCCCAGCTCGGGTCTCCACCTAAGCCAGAATGGTCTGCAGCCTTCTCCGCCGCCTGCACATGGGCACCAGCCACACCCAAAGCCTTCCGCCCTCTGGCCCACCCACACCAGAGCCCCCTCCCGAGCTCTGGTCACCACCTGTGGCTGTCAGTGTTGCCCCTTCTAATCTCTTCTCCCAGAAGAGATTGACAGAAACAACACACACACCTGAGGTGACCGAATGGCTACAAAGACTTTATCAAATTATTTAAAATGTTGGCATTTGAGTATTCATGTGTATACATAAAACAGTTACATGGAAACATCACATCACGGGGGTACAAACGTTACACACAAGAGCCTGGCAGGTGAGCAAATGAGGCCAGGCTTGGAGCCACAGGGCTTTAAAAAACTGGATGTCCTCTAAGGGTCTGAGAAAAGGGCAGAAGAGGAAAGGTCAGTTTAGGGGTTTGGCTAACCCCACCACCCAGATCTCTTCAGCTCCAACAGAAGAGCCCGTTCCCACCCTCAGGGGAAAGGGCCTGTTCTCAGACTCTATCCCCACTACATACACACCCACTCCCTAAAATCTTGATGTGGCAAACACACCCAAGAACCCACTGGAATATGTCCTTATAAATATATTTATATTAGAGAAGACAAGGCACTTTGGGAACATTACGGCTTACTCTCCTACATGTACATCATTCTAGACAGAATGTAAAAATTGGTTAGTTTCTCAAGTGAATTAACTGGATAAAGTTAATACAATAACAAAAATTGTTCCCTAGCCCTCACTGAGGCACTATAAAAGTGAATGTGGCAGGAGGCACAGAATGAGGCACATCTCTGTGCAACACCTGGTCCCAGGTTGGCTAGACCCCCACAGAACTCAAAGCCTGATGCCCCCCAGGAAGCCTGACATCTTTCATGAGCAGAGCCTCCTGGTCTTGGAGCACTGCCTTCCTCCCCAGGCCCTGAGGTCAGGTGAGGGCTGCAGCGGGAGGCAGTCCTAGAGCAGAGCTGGGACACGGTGGGAATGCTTAAGCAGGGTCACCAAAGCCACAGAGACCTCAATCTGTCCAAGCTGGCGCTGCAGAGTCGGAGGATCGGCGCCACGGGAAGAGATTTCACATTAACCCTGACAATACCGCCTTGGCTCTGCGGTGACATTGGCCAGGGTCATTTCTGAAGGCGCTCTAGCTTGCACCGGAGGAGCTAGAGCTTGGGCGGCTGCTCTGAGCCTCCAAGGGCTCACTGATCCTCCCCCCACCCCCCCACCCCCTTTTGGAATGTACCCATCTCACAACCAAGGCAAAGCCACAAGTCACTTCAGATACTGCCGATTGGAAGCTGGGCCCCTGGGCCACAGGAATGGGGGCAGGTCCCCTGGGCTGGGCAAACCAGGAAGGGAGGAGGCTCCTTGGTTTCAGCGCTTCTTAAGAGTCCTTACGGGCCATTGTGCCAATACTCTTACCAGCTTCAGCCCAGTTTAAATAATCACTAAACTTTGCATTCTACAATTACAGGATTCCAGAACACATGATTACCTGCACTGGGTCCTTTATCATCTTAAAGGGCTCTAGGTTTAAGGAAGCAATTTTTTTTTTTTGGTGCACATATGCATAAGTAGAGCCCAGAGGGCCTCTCGGCTGACTGGGTCCCCAGCCCCCCGAGCTGAGGAGGCTTCGCAAGGCCGGCTGCTACAAAGCGCCGAGCTTGGCTGCATAGATTTTAATGAGAGCGTCAGGCAGAGCTGTGCTGTTGCTCTCCGGGACTTGCAGATCATTACCAAACCAGCTGTAGGATGAGAACACAGCACATCGAAACCCTAGGAGGTCACTGAGCTAATGATCTAATCCTACCTTCTGCAGGCAGTGCCCCTCCCCACCTCCTCCTGCCCCCAGCCCTTTCCATGGTGGACTCTGTCCATTCCAGAAGCCAGGCCAATACCGCCCCCTTCAAGGTCAGAGCAAAATGAGAGTGGCTCTGGCTCCCCCTTTTCCGGAAAGGAGGAGGATGGGGGTAATTTAGTCAAAGCCATTAGGCCCAAACCCCAGCCTGGCCAGGCCCCAGGACTCCTATTTGGGAGAACCACTGCCCTCTGCCTGCCTCTCTAGCCACCGCTGGGCTGCAGCCCAGGCACCTTCAACGGCCATTTTAGGGTTGAAAGGGATGAAAGCACCCACACTCCTACAGCTTCCAAAGTGTGGGAGACAAGGCGGGGTCCCGCACAGCTTGGTGTCTCGGTGTGGAGCTAGGTGCCAAGTCCTGTGCCAAAGACACCTGATCTTTGGAGAGAGGGGAGAGGGCACACTTGGGAGCTGCCACAGCAGGAAGGCATGCTGGAACCTACAGGCGCAGTCCCCACGTCCTGAGATCCAGGGAAGAAGGCAGAGGGGAAGCATTCAGCAAGGGCACAGAGGCAGTACCCGTGATTACACACATTCTCCTCAAGCCGGAGGGGTTTACGAGGGCTTTGGCAATTACTACAACCATTTGCTGTGCTGGGTAGAGACAGATCCTGTTTCTCTTTGTTTCAGGGCTCTGAAAGCCAGAGAAGCCAGGAGAAGCCGATTTCAGCATAAGAGGCTACACAATAGTTAGGGCAGAAGAGAAGAAACCTCACTGTTGGCCAGAGCTGACCAGTTTTTTTCTGAATAATAGCACCTGTGTATTAGCTCTGGGAAAAAGGGGGGAGGGACAGAAGGAACATCAGCATGTGCAGTGCAGGGTGTGGGGGAAGCTGGAAACAGGACCCAGAGTCCCTCTGCCTTTCAGCCTGCTTCACGGCTGCCAGGCCCCCCCAGGCAGGTACCTGCACGGCTGCCAGCCTGAGGGACTGAAGTTTCCACAGTTGGCAGAACCTATGCTTAAATTGGGGAAATAAAAGGGGGAGGAGCTGCAGAGGAATTGAAAACAGCACCTGTCAAAGCTGCCTACCCCCCTTCCTTCTCTCACTACTTATGGTCTCCCAGAAGGGCAGCTCCCAAGGCCATGTGGTTGGCTGGTGATAGGGAAGGGGCAACAAAGAATTCTGAGAGAGGGGAGGAGGGTCTGAGCAGCACTGACAGGGCTGGCACAGGCCCAAGTCCTCCTACTGGGGCCCCCACCTATGGTGAAGTCTGGAGAAGCACAGAGCCAAAAAAGCTCTGCCCAGACCCCAGCAGGTGCCCATTATTTGGTCCCAGAAAGCACAGGTGACTTGGAATCAGGAACTCTGGGCTCTAGCTCTGTCACTACCCAACTGTCTGACCTCGAGCAAGTCACATCCCATCTCTAAGTCTCGGCATCCTTAAGAGGGTAGGACCCAAGGAGTGCCATCATCCTCGCAGTCCTGCATTCCAAGTCTCTAAGCTTTGCTCCTGACAGCCAGCAGAGGCCCTGGGCCCTGTGTGTCAGGGGTACTTTGGTCATAGATATTGGAGGTTAAAACGGCTGTGCTGCCTGAAGGCACCTAGGGGTGAGGGAGGGCTATTTCAGGGACACCTGAACACCATACTCACCATAAGAGAGCCTGAGAGGGAGGCAGCAAGCTCAGCCTTCAGAAAGGCAGCATTTCTGCGCAGAGGGGGTGAGACACCCTTTAGAGACTTTTTGCCTCCTGGAATACAGGGCATCCCAGGCACAGAGATCACTTAGCACAAGGCAGCCCCACACTGCTGATTAGGCCCTCCGGCCTGCTCTGCCTTCTGCTGTGTCCATGCAGGCCACTCTTGCTGCTTTAGGACCAGGAAATGGCTGGCATTATTTGAAGTGGCTGAGGGCAGGGATTTTGGAAGGATACCACAGCTGAATATGGCTCCTAGGGGAAGGCACCATCTCCAACTGAAACTCAATCAAAGGGATCTGCTTTGGGGTTTTTCCTTCCTTTCAATACACAATAGTCACTTGAAGGGAAGAGGGAACATCCCGGCTACTGAAGCTCTGGAGCCCCACAGGGCCTGACAATGGGAAGAGGAAATACATGTTGATTTGGAGGAAGCACTTGGATGTATCTTTGGTTGCTTCAGGGAAGGCTTTGGCCTCTTAAAATTCTTTTTTCCCCTCCCTTTTTTCCCCCATGGGACTGTAGGCATCAAAGAAGGCAGGTAGAAAGGAAAGAAAAAGAAGGTGGGCAGCAGCAGAAAGAGTTAATCCGACCAGTCGTCCTCATCAAACTCAGAGGAGTCATCTTCTGAGTCGCTGTACTCAACAGCAATGCGACGTGACAAGATGGTGGCCACATCATTGCCCACGACATCCCGCTTCTCTTGCTCCTGCTGTTCCTCAACCCTGCGCAGCTGAAAGCCTGGTGGCAGAGGGAGAGAAGGGTGAGGAAGTTGTGTCCTTAGCCTCAGAATCCATCCAGGACTGGGGAAGGGGAGTGGCCACTGGTGGGGGGTATACTGGAAAGGACAGAGAAAAAGAAGGATCCTCTGGAAGCAAAGAGGGAAAAGGTTTGGCAGGAGAAGCAGTAAAGAGGGAGTTTTATGAAACTGGTGGCCCTGGTGCTACAGGTGTGCCTGAAAGGAAGCCTGCCGTCCTCCTCGGCTTACACACTCTCAGGCTGGTGAGGACCGTACTTTGAGTGGGGAGCGGCCACCACACCCCATGTAGCAGGTCCTCAGTCTGCCCAAGTCCATCGATTCTAACGGGGCTCAGCTGCCCTTCATTTTCTCCTCTAAACTAGAAGTTCCTTGAGGATTACAACAACAAACCACTAGAACCCTTTGGGCCCAGACCTGGCCTGACAGAAAGAGAATAAATGCTCTAGGAGGATGAGATGATGATGGGGGAGGGGGAGAGAAAGGAAAGGAAGGAGAGAAAGAGGGAAGGGGAGAAAAGGAAAGCGGAGAAAAAAGGGGAGAAGGTGGGCAGAAAGAGGGAGGATGTGAATGGCAGAGCACTGGGGGAGGTCAGGGGGTGGCTGAGTCCAGCTGAACAATGACTTGCTGGGACAGTGATTCTTGTTTTTTTTGAGGCACAAACCCTTTTCAGAACCTGATAAAAAAACACGAATCCTTCCCCAAGAAAAAAATGCATGCAAACACACCTAAAGCATACATTTCCAAGGAGTTCAAAGGTTCAGGTTAAGAATCCTTTACTTTAAACCAAGGTGGAAAGAAGTCTAAATCTCCATATCTTTAGGGTGAAGCATTTTTTCAGGCTGCACTGAGGCCTGAGGTCCCACTCTCTCCACACCCAGAGAAAGCTATTCCCTGGGCAGGGCACAGAGTCCCTCTTCAACCATCCCCCTAATCAGTTAGACCAACTTCAGAAAGATAAGGCTCCACGGTCCCAGACCCACCACTGGGACTTACCTTGACGGATGGCTGAAAGCAGGTCACTGCGGGCATCGCTCACAGCAGGCAAGGAGGACTTAGGCTTGGTGGCATCAGAAAGTGGTGGTGGTATGCCGGGCTGGCCATCCATACCACTGAATGGGGGAGGAGGGGGCCCTGGGGGAGGGGGAGGAGGGGGAGGGGGAGGGGCTCCTCCTGCTGGTTGGGACAAGGGAGGTGGTGGCAGAGTTGGGTAGTCAGCTGCTGGTGGGGGGGGAGGAGGGGGAGGGGCAGCAAAATCAGGATGAGGTGGAAAAGATGGGGGTGAAGGTGGTGGAGGGGTCCCTGGAGACCCAAATCCTATAGGTGGTGGTGGAGGCGGAACACCTATCATTGGAGGCGGAGGTGGTGGGGCAGGTGGTGGAGCGAATCCAGGTTTGGGGCCTGGCGGAGAGCCCAGAGGAGGTGCTGGTGGGGGGTGACTTGGGCTGACCACACTGGATCTCTTGGGTCCAGCCAAGCCAGATCCTCTTTGGTTGTCTGCCGGGTAGCTAAAAGGCCAAAGACAGAAGACCCACCATCACTCTCAGGATGCGAACACTCACCTATAATTAGGCTTATCTGTAAGCCTAGGTTCATCTTGGTTGACTACACCATTTTACTTTGGCTCAAACACAAAGAAAGACCTGGGTATAATTAGAACAGACCAATAATGAAACAGGCAGCCCTTTAAGGTAATGAGTTCCCCACCAGCCGGGAGTATAATCAGAAATTGAGGAAAACTACCTGGAAAGAAGACCTGGGATTCCTCTATCATGTAAGAGCTGGCTGAGACATTCCTTAGGTCCCCCTCTAAACTTTCAGCTACTCAGGAGAAGGCACCCTCCTGAACCCTCCTCTAAGAGGAACGGGCCATGGACAGTTGTCAGTTCAATCCTGGAGCCCAGGCTAAGAATGCACGCAAGAAAGAATTGGAATAAAAATTCAAACTCCACCCACCCACTGTGCTCTGTTTCTCAGGCTATTAACATTCACCAGGTCTGGTGAGGACAGGAAACCCAAGCCAACCTGACCAGACCTGAGTGGGATACAGATTTAGGTGAATGCATCTTCAGTGCTCATGTGGGGAAAACTTGAGAGAGAACGGGTGTCAATCTGAGAGTCTGCAGGGATGGGAAGTGAATGTGCCACCAGACTCCTGCCCCAGGTTTGAAAGAGGATTAAGGCTACACCTCTCCTGGGAGCAGATTTGCTTGGCTGCAGCTGCAAGGTCTCAGGCCATGTGTGAGGCTGAAGGTTTTCTTTTCCGCCTTTGTATCTGTCTTGCACTAATAGCTACTCCTTAGGAAGGCATCCATCTTGGAATTTTCCACAGACCTTCAAGCCTTAGCTGCATCTGACAGGGCAACAAGGAAGTGACTCGGGAGGCAGAAAGAGATTTGGGATTAGTGGTTTCAAGGGCCAAGAAGGAACATTGCTTTAGGTCTCCATCTGAGGCATCCTCAACATATTTAGTCTCTAATTAAACAGTGTCCATGAAGAAAGTTCACCTATCAAAGCTCCCATTTGTCAGGCATCAGAAAGGACAAAAGTAACTGTGAGAAGACAGTGAAATCTGAACAATCCCCGGACCTCTTTTCAGCCATTACTGGCTAACTCGTCCTCGGTACAAATCTGCTAGGGATACTGACAGATATCAAAATGGACAGATGTGAAGTTTCATCCCCCTTTCCCTTTGTTTCATTCTGGAAATTCTATACAGCAGTGAAATGAACCAGTAGCAACAAGAGAGGAAGGTGACTATCTGCTAGGTTCCTAGATAACCGGGCAAGGTAACTGCTAATTATATCATGGACAGCAGATTGTACCACTTCATTTAGTGCTGAGTTAAAGCTAAGTAAAAACACATGAGAGAAGTTGGTGACTTCTACCTGTTCAGGTTTAGGCAGAATAGCAAGTAGTTGAGAGTACAAGCCTGGAGTCCAAATGACCAATCATGGCTCTGCCTCTTACTGGCTGCATGACCTTAGGTAAGTTCACTGACCCCCCTGTACCTCACAGTTCACTCATCCATAACACAGAGATAATAACAGAGGACTCCTCTGGGGATTAAGTAACACACAGTGTTTAGCATAATGCCTTACAAACACTTGGTAAATATTAATTATTTCCATCATGTAGACAAACTTGCCTGAAGTTATTTTTGTGGTCCTGACCAAGATTTTGAATTCTTATATTGTTCTTGAGTATATAACCACCAAGAGTAGATGGAAGAGGTACCACCATTTACCTGAATTCTGCTGGTGGGGGAGGCAAGTTGTCCTCAGAGAAGACAGGAGAAGGTGAGGAAGCGGAGTCTGACTGCGGTGGTGGTGGGTAGCTGCCTGCATCCACGTTTTCCACAGAGCCGATGCTGCCGTTCTGGTACACCAAGGTGGGCGGATACCTGACAACAACCCAATGCCAAAAGCTGTCATTTCAAGAGCCTGAGTGGTAATCTCTTTTCTCCTTAAAACCTACTATAAAGAATATAAAAACTATTAGGGAGAAATAAAATAAGTAAATTCCCCAAATACTTTCTGTTAGACTGAAATTTTATTTTAGGATTAAATATTCTATTGTGAAATATATAGATATTCCTCCTGAATTGTTTACAGTAATGAGATTCAACCTAGATTATTAAAACCATGCTGTTTCTTTCCCAGTGTTGGTCTTGTCAAACCCAGCAGTTAAATACTATCCCGAATATTAGGTGCAGCTATATCTGAATCCCAAAGTCTGTCCTGTGGCAAAGGGTGAAGCCAAGCCCCACAGGCTAGTGAGCTGCAAACACGTGACTGGTACACAGCCTGATTTTGAGGTCAGCAAGCCTCTGGAGTGCTCAAAGGCCAAGGAGGCATTTGATTGCAAAATCAAGCCAAGGATGAATGCGGGTTGCTGTGTGGTAGTAAACATGGCCTCTCTGCTAGGTCTCTTATCAAACAAAATGAGCTGCAATTAAAGTAGGGTGCTAGGGGTTACCTCATGGAAAGCTGTCCCTCAGAGCACGGGGCCTTGGATGAATTTGTTCTGGGTGAACAATAACACAACTTCAAACAAGAACAAATATACCAAGCAACAAGCACAAGTACACCAAGCATCAGCTGGCAAAATTTGGACTGTTCTGCTCCACCTCCCCCTTCTTTCCATCATTGCTGGGTTCTAAAGAACTCACCTAAAACACACCCCAGGGAGAACAGAGTTGGAGGGAACTAAATGAATCAAAAGATGCTCTGATATGGAAAATCCCCAAGGCCCAGAACCCTGTAGGCTTGGCCCATGTCTTTACAGGCTCACCAACAAGCATGTCCAGATAGACTAGCCATGCAGCTGAGCAAACTTCTTGGACAACATGAAAATGGGAGGCAAATCCTCATCTTCACTATCCCCACTCCACAAAAAAGGACACACATGATAATTGGCATTCTGAACATGCAAGCTTCTGGCCTCAGAGTCACTGAACCTATGACAAGTGCCTGTCTGAACAGGATGGGACCAGGGAACAAAATGGCCCCCTTTATTGGGAGGTGAAGGTAAGGAAGGTACCCTCAGGGCTGATTTCCCAGTAGAGAGAAAGGTTCGTTTTTACTTTCACCATCTTCATCACTCTTTAAAACAAATCTCTTAATCCATGAAGAAGAAGTGTCAGAAGTGTCAAGATTTTTAAAAGTCAAGATTTTCATGGTAGAGTTATTCCTAAAAGCAAGAACAACTCAACTCTTTCCTTTTATCATTCCTAGCCACCCGGCATAGGCTGGCATGGTTCTCTGACAGGCAGGATGCAATGTATTTAGAGGAAAAACCAGGGCGACATTCACGCCAAGCAGTCATGGTGACTTGGCTTTGAATGTCACATAGGTCAGACACTAGGATAAGCATCAAACCAAGCTTTAAAACCATTTTTTCCCTTTAAACCTCCAGTGTGATTTGGTATTGGGAAATGGGTCAGACTGACATCTCTTATTTCTCTACAGAGATATACAGCCTCAATACTGGCCAAGCAACCTTTCCCACACTGTCTCTGAGGTCTGCATTCAGTCCCTTGGCCAGCGTCTCTCCCAAAACTGACAAAGGCTGGCTGAAAAGTTGCTTTGGTGATGTGCAGAACTTCCCTGCCCGGCCCTCCCCACTCCTGTGGAATGCCCAGCTCTCAGGCACAACCTTCTAATCAATGCTCTGGAGGCAAAGGGTTCCCAAAACCACTTTTCTTCCCCTTCCAGTCTTTCCTCTGAGGCCTTTAAACACACTATTTTTTTTTTTTTTTTTTTGAGACAGAGTCTCGCTTTGTTGCCTAGGCTAGAGTGAGTGCCATGGCGTCAGCCTAGCTCACAGCAACCTCAATCTCCTGGCTCAAGCAATCTTCTGCTCAGCCTCCCAAGTAGCTGGACTACAGGCATGTGCCACTGCCCGGCTAATTTTATATATTATTATATAGTTGCAATTAATTTCTTTCTATTTATAGTAGAGACGGGTCTCATCTGTTCAGGCTGGTTTCGAACTCCTGACCTCAAGCAATCGCCCGCCTCGGCCTCCCAGAGAGCTAGGATTACAGGCGTGAGCCACCACGCCCGGCCTTAAACACACTATTGTCTGGCAGAGTGAGGGCACCAGGAGCCATGGCTGGCATGGGCCACTCACCTCATTTAAATTGCTGAATCTCCTGATTTATTTAGCAATTTTTAATCACCAGATGAATACACTTTAAAGTAGCTGATTACCAGTGGTATTGATCTAAGCCACAGAGCCAGACTTTAGGGGGTATGAAAGGCGTCATGCCAGAGCAGTCAGACTGTTGTCCCCAGGTCCCCAGCCCCTTCAAAGAATGTTACCAATTGTACAAATGCATCACCTACCCAGAAGGCCCCAGCTTTTCTTTGGACTCCACAAATTCTTGTCCCATCTTCATTTTCTCCCACTCTTCCTTACGGGTCTTGATTTTCCGTGGGTTTACATTCCCTCGATTTGGATTATCTTTCTTTTCTTTCTATAATGAAAAGGAAGAGAACATTTGTGGAACATTTTCCAAAGTTCTTCATTAAAATTCTATCCATCTCCATAGATGTAAATCCAAGAGATGATTTGCCGAGATGACATATGATAGCTACAGAACTTACAAAATTACTGGGTTTGGAGTGACCTAGAGGCCATTTAATCCAAACTGCCCTCTGGGTGAAACATTTGCTCAATCCCACATTCACAACACCTTTAGTGAGGGAAACCCACTACCTCTTTGGGTAACTCAGTCATGTTTTTTTTCCCTTTGAGCTCAGCTTCAGGGAACACATTTTTGAACTGTTCTAATTGTTCTAACTGTTCTAATTGTTAGGAAGTTAGTAAACAGCTATTTGTTATTTGCTTTGTCACAAAAGTCAGGCAAGAAGATGAAAAGTAATGACAGCTACATATATGGGGGACAGATATAGGGAAATGGTTAATAAAAAAACCAAACCAAAACAAAAACCAATGAAGAATTTTTCAGCCTGTGCAGCTGCACTAGCCCCCGGCACTCTCTTGGGCCTCCTGGCAGCCATGCTAATGGGATTGTGAGGGTGCACTTGGTGGGTCACAGACATACCACTAGGAGTCTAAGGGGAGAGGAAAATCTCCAAAATCACACATAACCCCCCACCCTGTCCCTGCCCAACCAGAAGGTGTTAAACTGCTCTAGTTGCAAATCAAACACTGCAGAACCTTGTGCTGATCTTTGAGAAATGAGCTGCAAAACTGGCGAGGAAGGTACTAGCCTAGCTTGAGTGTCCAGCAGAGTCAGGTGCAAATTGCAAGAGAAATAAATGGTGAATAGAAAAGTCAATTTCTAAAACTCAGCCTGAATATACTCAATTGTTAATAGCGCTGGGGGGAACAAACACATTTTTGGTGTGATTTATACTTTCATCTTGGTCGTGCTTGGTGTGGACACATTTTTTTAAGAGTTTCACCTGGCATCCAAGCAAGCAGCCACTCGAAATGATTACTTCACATAAGACTGGCTTCCTTTTTATCCCCCCTCCACAACCGTGCCTACTGATGTGTAGAACAGAGGCCCCTTTCCCCTCACCCTATGCTTTCTCTTCTCTTTCATGATATCCTTGGTGTCCTGCAGCATCTTCTCCTTCCAAAGATCAAAGAAGTATGAAGGGTCTGTGTAGAATTTGAGTGCCTCTTTTCCATCGTCCCTGGGATAGAAATGAAGACAAGTAGCTGTCAGTAGACAGATGAGCTCCCAACCAAATCCAATATTCCAAACACCTACCAGTTAGCAGTTTTTACACTAAGGAATCAAGAAGTCATTTGAATCGATTGCATATTTCCTCTCCCATACCAGCATTTCAATGCCCCTGAACGGCACCTCTCTACTTATCTGGCTTTTTAAGAACCTTAGCTTTACTTCCAATTCCTAGCAGAGGAATTTGCATGGTCAGGGCAAGAACAGGCTACAGCAGCAGGGATCCTGATTATTTCTAATGATCTGCATGGCCACAGACATCTCCCTGAGGATATCCAGATATCCTGGCACATCAGAAGGGGGTTTCTGCCACTGGTTTCCTTTCCCCCACCAATTCCCCAGGACTCTCTGGGAAGCATTAGTAGTTTCCCACTCACCTGAAACTTGTGCACACACGTGAAATGTGTACATGTGCACAGCTGTTATTCCTCTGCACACACAGACAATCACAGCATTCCACCTTCTAGCTCCCTTCAAGATAGTTCAGTATCAGCCCCACCACCACAAGGGGGCTCCAGTGAGACTAGAAAGCCACCTGTTTTAGACCACAAGATTGTTTTTTTCCTTTTTTTGAGACAGGGTCTCTTTCAGTCGCCCTGTGTAGAGCACAATGGCGGCATCATAGCTTGCTACAACCTCAAACTCCTGGGCTTAAGCAGTCCTCCTGCCTCAGCCTCCCGAGTACATGGGACTACAGGCAAGCACCACCATGCCTGGCTAATTTTTTCTATTTTTGGTAGAGACAGGGTCTTGCTCTTCTTGCTCAGGCTGATCTCCAACTTCTGACCTAAAGCGATCTGCCTGCTTTGGCCTCCAAGAGTGCTAGGATTACACGTGTGAGCCACCATGACCAGCCAGACCACAAGGTTTAATCACTAACACTTAGTGGCTGTGACAGTAGTGCAGAGTGAGCTACTGAGTGTCTATATAAGGGCTATCTGCCAAATTCAATGATCCTGACTGGAATCCTGCACTTTGGCATGGCTAAGCCCCTCTGACTACACAGAAAGCATGAGCTTAGGGTGAAGATTTATTTTAACATTATTCTGAACTAAAACAAATTAGAAAGGTATTTATATTACCTGTCCCTCCAATCCTATCACAACACACAGAAAGCATTTCCAAATCAAACATTAATGATTTCTGTATTAAATCTTGTTCTGAGTTTGATACACCACCACTTGTTTCTGTTAGACCAGGACCAGATAATTGAGAGGAGATGCTAATTCTGGGGTTCTATGTTAAAAAGGAAAATACCATTAATTGAAGAGTAAAATTCTCTTACTATCATTTGTTTATCCTATTCTACCACATAAACCCTATATCGTACTCCTACAACAGTATCAGGTGTGTGAGCCCTGCCTCCTCAACAATCCCTCTGCCCAACCTAACTAGATTCAATGATGGAGACTACAGAGTCAAATCTCTGCCCTGCTCTGCTAGCTAGCCCCTTGGAAAGCCAAGGGGCAAATGCAATTTCACGCAGTAACAATGAAGGACAGATGCCATGCCATTCTCTGTAGCTGTGTGAGAAGCTACCAAGCTCCTATTCCAAGCTCCCTGAATCAGGCTGGTGTCCTTGAATTTCACAGGGGCTCGTACACACAAGCACGTGCAGACACACACACACACACACACACACACACACACTCTATCTCTCTACCTCACAGTATACCCATGTCTGATAGAAGACATCTGCCTCCAGCTATCTGTAATTACTTTTTACCTGTTCCAAAGATATTTATGGATGTAAGTAAGCAAGATAAACATTCACTTTCTGTCCCTGTTCAGTGGTTTTTGCAGGATGACACTACCAAACCATTGGCAGGGGCAGGCTTTAAGTTGTCTATAAGGCTACCTTCTTTTTCAAGTCCAACTGTAGCAGAGTAGGTCCTTTCAGAAGGAAATGTAGAAAGGATGTTCAAAACAAAGTGAACGATGCTCATTTGGAAGAATTCCAATTACTCCTTAAGCTTTGGAAAGACCCCTCTGGTCTCAGAGCAGCCAGTCCATGAGGCTGGCCCCAGTAACACGCCCAAACATCTGGTAATCTAGTGGTTTCCAAGTAAGTGGGAACCTTGCTAGAATGTTGCCCCTGGGATCTATGCTGTAGGACCGCCTTGTAACAAAGTCCTTTTGGTTCTATAATAACTAAATTCCTTGGATGAAATCCAAGATGGACCTGGCTTATACCAAATTAAACTCTGTAGCATGCAACGTTACAGCAAACTTAAAATATATATTATATTCACTATGAATTTCAGAAAGCAAACAATAATAAGTGACAATTATTCTTTTCTTCTTCTTCTTCTTCTTCTTTTTTTTTTGAGACAGAGTCTCACTCTGTTGCCCGGGCTAGAGTGCCGTGGCATCAGCCTAGCTCACAGCAACCTCAAACTCCTGGGCTCCAGTGATCATATGTGACAATTATTTATAGTGTAAACTTTAGCTTGTGCCACAAACAACTTTGGGGTAGGTAGTGAGCTTTTTGATACAATCCTCTGATTGTAAACAACTCTTCAGATAAAAAGACAATCCAGTGTTGTTAACTGTAAGCCCAAAAGGGAGGAGCTAGCCAGCTATTACCTGTAAGGGGTAAGATTGTTGAGAGGGGGAGGAGTATCACAGGTATTGTATGTTTCTAAGACAGGCACTGGGAGAGAGTTTCTGTCAAAAAGCTTCTGGTCTTGAATGGTAGAGCTTCTGAAGGCCTTCCGGGTGTTGATTCCTTGTAGTGACACTGAGAGAAGATGGAAGGCGTTAGAAAATGGACGACGGGCTATTTGAGCAAACACTGAGTCACACTAGTCAGAGAGGCCTCAGCTGCTGCATTTCTTGGCTGCGGCTGTCTGCAGCCAGGTTTTTTTTTCCTCCCCCTCTGGGGAAGCCCCACAAGGCTGTCAGCAGCCCAGCCATTTCACGACTGAACAAAATGAGGCAACACAAAGGTTTACTATGTGGCCAGATCTAGCAGGCCTCTCCCTAGGAGGAATGAATCTTCCAAGTACTTTTATGGTAGCAAAATACGATCGAAGGAGGGGAAATCTGAGAACGAGGGAATTGGGGGAATGGGAGAAAGGAAGTGTATGAGGGTGTGGTAGAGCTAAAAAGGTTTCTTTACACCACCCAGGCTTGTGTCATTTCAAAGCAGAATTCCATAGGTCTCTGTGATTTCTCCCCTCACTTTTTACTTTTCACTCAGGAAAAAATTCTAAGAAACTGCTCAGCAGAGCCTGCAAATGCTGAGCTCAGCTTTCTTACCTTCTTCTTCCTTGGGATCCAACTGAGTGACTTTAACTTGTAGTCGGTCAACCCTCTTAGCAAGGGAGCTTACCCGAGAGGCAAAGGTATTTGCCTGAGTAAAGATCTCTCCAAAAATGTCCTCTGCATATTTACCTGGAAAGAGCAAAGAAACCAAGTAACTACTACATAGAAGTAATTTAAATGGTCGGAAAAACTAGCTACAAAAGATCATATCCCCCCCCAAACACCCCCCCAAACCCTAAGATGGTTTGAACCATATGCAGGTGCTTGCTCTTGGAGATAGAGATATACCCTCCATCCCTTCATAGCTAGGGCAGTCTGCATATATTCTGTAACTCATAGACGCTTCTTGGCAAACTCTAAACAGTCATGAACTTCAAAACAGACTAAATAAATCGAAAGGGGTAATGCAAAAAAATTAATCCTGGAAGAGTAGACAATAAGTTTACACATTTGCCTACATCCCTTAGCCTCTTGCTGTTCTGTAAAAGCACCTTGTAAAATAGTTCTGGAAAACAGATTGGGAGTTAAGAGGACCTTCTAGGTATCTACAATTAACATGAAAAATAAGAAATTACTTCCTCAATGGAGCCTCAAAAGTACACTGAACAACCAAGATGAGTTGTAGTATCTTTGAGGGGCCTTGAACTTATCAACAACCCACAGCAGAGACACATAACTTTTTCTAAGGGTAAAAAGGTTAACTTACATTTTATAACCTATAACTTTCAAAGTCTTTGCTCTAGGTTATAATCCTTGAACATCAACATCTTAGGAAACAAAAGCTGAAACTTTCAAGCCTTCCCTGAAAAACAATGCACCAGTGGTCTCTTTCCACAATGTCATGTTTTTTAGGAAAGAAAAAAAAAGTTCTGTACTTTCAACCCTGGAATGCAAGGAGAATTTGCAGCCAAAGAAACATAACAGCAATTTGACACTACCTCCATATTGTCATTCTAAGCCACAAGGCACATTCTTACTAGGAATGAAAAGTGGTACATATGAATAAATATACCATCTGAGTTTCCTACTTGCAAGGTGAAGGCAAGCATAAGCGACTGTTCCCAAAAAGATAATTTTTTTAAAAGATAGTTTTTAAAAGATAAAAGATAATTTTTTAAAAGAACTATTTAAAGTAGGCTCTAATTTTTAGCTTCTAAACTATATTTATGCTTAGTCCATATCTGAAGGGAAAAAAATTAGTCTGAAAGGCCAAAACTGCACATTCAGGGTGAAGTGCAGCTCACCTTCCCAATATAACCTGGAGAGTAAGGAGAAGACCAATCAACTGTGGATTTTGAATTGCTGGTAAATTTAAGTCAATAAGGAGTTTCTAATCAAGGAAGGAGCAAGTCCTTGCATACTGAACGGTTTTGTGATCTAAACAACTATGGGAAGCTCCTGAGCCCAAAGGACTCAAATCAGCTAATGAGCTGCATTTCTACTTTGCAGGTTAGGGATCCTATTTGATCATTGTCTACAATATGGCTAAGGTCCTCTAAAAACTTACTGTATCAATCATGGTCATCTAGGTAATGGAAAATTGTGTTTGGAAAGCTAAAGCAGGGAAATATGCAACATTATGTGTAGAAAATAAACCAAGCTCAAAAATATCTGTTAACCACCCAGCTGCTCTAGAAGAAAAGAAAATTCCAAATCAACTTACCCTTAGGTCACCAAGAGAGTACTCAGGATTTCCTGCTCCTTAGTAAAGGAGGCAGTGACAGTGGCAGTACTGGTAACAATGAGATCTCTATTTTAAAGAGGAAGTGAGGTGGTATGAAGGCTTCCCTTGGTCACACCACCTCAGGCCCTAGGCAGACCTAGAGCTACACAAAAGGAGCAGTGAACTTCAAATCAGAAAATCTGGATTTAAGTCTCAGCTCTTTATATTTATACCTGTGTACTCTGTAGTGAGTCACAATTTCTCAGCCTAGTTTCCTCATCTGTAAAATGGGGATAACTACATCTGCCTCACCAAGTTACTATAAGAATTAAATGAACTAAAATTATAAGTTGTCACAATTAGATTCTTCCTTATGTTGCTCAACATTAGATGACTTTTAAGAGTGTGAATACCTAAATACTCTAAGTTTTAAGCTTAGAGGAAAAATTTAAATATAATTACAATCAGTTATTTGATAGTCTCTATTCTTCAAGTGCTAAAAATTACTCCAACCTCTGAAAACAGAAGTATGATACTTAAATAGAAAAAAAATCAAAACACCGTGTCCAGAGTTAAATTTCACTCATTCAGATTACCAAGGCAGACCCAATATCCATCAGGACATTCACAACAGATATCACATTTTGTAAAATATTCCAGAAGCAGCCTCCCTTAGCAGAACTTTTCAAATGAAATGTTATGTGGAAGCAGAACAGGTAAAACTGATTTTTAAAAATGTGAAGCTGCTCTTGTTGAAGTCTGAGTGGGAGTCTTGGAGCTCCCCAATGGCATGCCCAGCCCCCTCACCCCCACTACAGTCAGTTAGAAACTCAATATCATAGCATGATCTCCTAATGACCCAAGTGGGAGTTCCATTCTCTTAGGTGGCCACAATACTGATCAAAAGTGCTGGATGGCTGGTTGTGCCTGTATTTCCTAAGATATGGCAACCTAATATGTGAAATGCCAATCTCACTGTACTGAGGGAAAATAAGAATTCTGGATGTGCTGTCACAGAGCGATCCGTGGCTGTAGAATTTTTAGTTTTTTATGTTTTATCCATTCTGTAATCAGACTTTCACTACTAGGCTGAACAGTTCTGCCTAGAGTACAACGCACATGAGGCCAAGGTCATGAGCCTGAAGCACATATAATAAGCCCTTCCCTGAGCCCCTCTCTGCTAGATGAAATCCTAGTCATCTTTCAAGGCCTGGTTCAAATATAACCTCTTCCATAAAGCTTTCCTTGACCTTCCCTATCCCCACCTGTGCCCCTACTCCCTACAAAAAGTGTTCCTTCCTCCCCATAGTCTCTGTACTAATAGCATGGAATGGTGGAGAACATATAAGAATGAATCATTCAACAAACATTTACGGAGCTTCTACTGGGTGACAGGTACTATATAAGATAGACGCTGGGGTTCAAGGACAAACAATACATGATTTCTGCCTTCAAAGATTTTTTAATTTAGTAAAAGAGACATATGTAATTTGCAACTTAATGTGATAAGTAATAATATAGGCATGTAACAGGAGCTCAGAGGAGCACTTAGCCCAATCTGGAGGAGGAGATGCCTGAGCTGGGTCTTGAAAGATCAGCTACAGCCGGCCAGGCAGACAAGGGTGGCAAGGGCTGTCCAGCCAGGGGGGACAGAAGAGTACTGCATGGAAGTGTGAAAGAGCACTGTCTGTCTCAGGAGAACTACTAGTGGGTGATAATTCATTCTTTCTTTCCTTCCTTTTTTCCCTTTTCCATTTTAAAAGAATCTTTTTAAAAGACTGTAAAATGGGAGAAGACAGATTGCAGAAAATGAGGCTGGAAAGGAAGGCAGGGCTTGGAGAGCTAGGCCAAAGAACTTAGACAATTCCATAGTGAAGAACAGGAAAGATAAATAGCTAAGATTTATACTTTTACTGTAAAAATACTTGTTAAACTACAAGATTCAAAAACTCATAACTATAAAAGTAAAACGTGAGATTTGTGTTTCAGGGAGATCACTCTGGGAGGGGTATAGGCGATAGATCTAAGAGGGCTAGATCAGACAAAGGAGGCCAGGGGAAGGCTTGGACAAAATAGTTTAGGTGAAAGTTTTGTTGTCTTTTTTTTTTTTTCCCCAAAAGATGGGGTCTCACTCTGTCGCCCAGGCTGGAGTGCAGTGGCATAATCACAGCTCACTGCAGCCTCAAATTCCTGGGCTCAAGCAATCCTCCCACCTCAGCCTCCCAAGTAGCTGGGACGACAGGCTCACAAGCCATGGTGCCCAGCAGTTTTGGTGAAAATTAATGAAGGTCTGAACCAGGGCACTAATGGCAGAGACAGAAAGTAAGGGACAGAGCTGAGAAATTCTTAGGAAGTCTCAGTTTAAATACTGGCTATGGCCAGGCGTGGTGGCTCACGCCTGTAATCCTAGCACTCTGGGAGGCTGAGGCAGGAGGATCGCTCAAGGTCAGGAGTTGGAAACCAGCCTGAGCAGAAGCGAGACCCCATCTCTACTAAAAATAGAAAGAAATTAATTGGCCAACTAAAAATATATAGAAAAAATTAGGGGCAACAGAGTGAGACTCTGACTCAAAAATATAAATAAAAAAAAATAAAAATAAATAAATGAATACTGGCTGTATCTCTTTAGGCAAGATGCCTTACTCTTCTGAGCCTTCACTTCTTTAGCTGAAAAATGGGAATACCACTACCTATCCTCATAGGATTATTAAAAAGATAAAAAGCAATAATATATGTCAAACTCTTATCAAAACCTGGTATAAATCAGGCCATCAACAAATGTGACTTCCCTTCTTACTCTCTTCCCATTCTCCTCTTAACAATTATTTCTGTCTCCTTTAGTGGATTATGAATTCCTGGAAGGCAGAGAGCATTTCTTATCACTACTGTATCCCCTCAGCATCTGGCACATAAAATATGTTTAATATTTGCTTATTGGATGAATAAAGGCTCAGTTAGCCCCACAATGTGAGGAAATCTTGTTTCCTTAGGCACAAACTGACCCTGGCCCTCAGACTGGCTTCCTCAAGAGAGGAGTGGTCTGATCACCAGTGGCACAGTGAGCAATGGCATCCATCAACACTACCCTGGAAAAACACCTGTGAGAGAGCATAACTTCTACTGAGTGAGAATAAGAAGCATCATTAGCACCATTAGCTAGATGGTTTTTGTCCTATGGAGAAGGAACAGTGTGTGATTGACTTCCACCCATTTGGCCTTCTCAGGGAGACAGAAGCAGAAATAATGCTTTTAAGAAGCAGTGAGGCTCTCTGCAGCCTTCATATGCTTGCTTGTCAGCTGCACTGCTATTGCGCTACTGTCAACGTTCCTTTGTATAAGACAGGCACTGGCAGGGTTCCATTTCTTTGCAATGCCCCATCCAGGTTTTCCTAAGCCCTGGATCAACTGAGATGGTCCCTGAGCTAGGTGAAGGCTTAGGAATTTCAGACTCCATACATCATCTGGTCACAGAGCTCTGTCTCCTCAGGCTCCTATGTTAAAGGCTGGGCCTATTACTATCTGGGGGAATGCAGGCTTTCTTGATATTCCACTGCCTTCACTAAGGGCAGTGACACAATAGGAGGGGCAAGTGTCTGACATAATTCACACCAAGATGTCTTTGCTAAGGAAGATCACTAAAATGGCATTTTGACGGGAAGTTCTTATGGGAGCTGGAGTGGCACTAGACAAATGCAGAGCCAATCCAAGCATCTGCCCTTCCCATACCTCAGCTTCAAGCAAACAAAGTCAGCTTGATTCAGAATGAAATCCAAACCACATGCATGTACCCCACCCAAGGCAGTCTCATTCATTCTTGCCAATTAAAAAAATATATATAGTTGAGCTGGCTTTCTCTCAGCTCCAAAACAGACTGGGCTAACCCCCACCTTCCTCCTAGAGAAGAATGACTCCAGCAACTATTTGTGTCATTGTGTGTTCACACAGCTTGCGAAACTCCTAATACCCCAGAGACTGCAGAAGTAATTTGTACTCTGAACTTGGACCTGGGGGCTTGCAGCACAATTAAATGTGTACCAGGGTGGACAAGTCAGCCAGAATCTCTCTGAGTGGATGTTTGCTTTACTCCTCTTTGGGAAGAAAAGGGTTGGGGGGAGGGGGCCTTGGGTAGATAAAGACTATTGGCACATTTGAGGTTTCAAGAAAGTCAAGCTACATCGAACAGCTCATGTAATTACAGGCACATTCCCCGACCCAAGATACTGCTCTGTGAACCTCCCACTTTACAGAGAGAATTCTGCTCTGTCATTCCATCTGCAGTTTTTGCTGCAGCCCTTCCTGCCACCCTTCCCACAGATTTCTTTTGAAGCAGGTGGAGGGGGAGGGGGAGGAAACCTAGAGGGTGGTGGCAGATAAAGAAGGTTGAGGGGAAGAATCTATACCAAAAAGGAGCCTCTCTTTGGGGAGGGATACATTTTTGCATTACCTAGGGAAGGCAGATGGGGGAGAAACAGGAACACGGAGGAAAAGGAAACTAAATAAAGAGCACCAACGACCCCTGAGGGCAAAGCACAGGCTCTCGGAGGCACTCACTCAGGCTGCCCAGCTGTCGGATGACATTTGCCAGGGAGATGTTGGTCACGCATTCCAGCTCGCTTCTAACACTAGGCAACGTCTGACGGCACAGGTGCCTTGGCTCGATGTTCCTCGTTACTAACGGCATGGTGGACCTGCTTCAGGCAATGTTCTGAATGATGAAAAACAACCTAAAAAAGAAATAACAGGAAAGTATTACTCAACCACAAATGCCAGGCACACTAGGGCTGTGTGAGTCTCTTTTTTGGGGGGAGGGGGGGTCTTGCTCTGATTTAAAACAGTTTTTTAAAAATCTTCACTCTTATCTTTTTGTTTTTTTCATTTTTAAGTCCTCCCCCCAACCCTTCTTAAGGTTTGTTATTAGAAGACTTGCTATATAAGTTTAGAAATTCTGAACTGGTGACTGTCTGCCTGCTGAGGTACACAGGCAGCAAAAAACCCTTAAAGTGACAACTACTGCTCCAACCAAGAGTCCCCAGAGGCAAAAAGGCATGGTTAGAAAACAGCCCACTCAGCAGGCACTGGATAGTATAGATCCTACCCTTGGGGTGTCTGTTACCAGGACAGATCATCTTCTAGGCCATCACTTACAAGGATCAAAAAAGAGCTTCTGTCATCTAATAATCTCCACAATGAAATCAAGATGCCAATAGTGACTTCACTGATATAAATCAGGACATAACTTTGCTAGTTCTTCCTTGGTGGGTGATTGTTAATGTATAACTAATACTCATGCCAGTATCTACTAAGGTTATTCTGTAAATTGATAGAATGAAAGAATATAAAGAGAAATTTTACATGTTCAATATGTCAAAACATGCTGAGTAAACTGTGCTATAAGATTCCCCTGTCCTTTCTCTTCTACCACACATCTCCGTTTCTCTCTCCCATCTGGTTCAATACACCTGAGCCAAAAGGCTCTAGAGACAGCAGGAAGTGTCTGGAGCAGATCCGGAAACGGTCCAGATAATGTTTTTTTTGTTTTTTTTTTTGAGATAGAGTCACTCTGTCACCCGGGGTAGAGTGCATCATAGATGGCAACCTCAAACCCCTGGGTTCAAGCGATCCTCCTGCCTCAACCTCCTGAGTAGCTGGAACTACAGGTGTGCGCTATGACACCCGGCTAATTTTTCTATTTTTAGTAGAGACCTTTCTGTTTTTAGTAGAGACAGAGTCTCACTCTTGCTTACGCTGGTCTTTGACTCCTGGGGGTGAGCAATCCTCCTGCCTTAGACTCTCAGAGTGCTAGGATTATAGGTGTGAGCCACCACACCCAGCCCAGATACTGTTTCTTATCCAGTTCTTATCTAGTTGGCTGAGCCCCTTTCCCAAGGAAATCCCCCAGCATTTCAGATTCACACTGAGCTATTGTTTTAGATTTAGATGACCAAATTTCTAGCTTTACAAGGATAGGAGGAGGTTTTAATCTTCACAAAACAGATATGATTATAGTTCAGGCACACTGGGATGGTCTTTTTTTCATATCTTGTAAAACTAAAGAAATCTAAAGTGGCCTAATGGTTCTCATGCTAAGGAAAATGGCAAATTCGCTTCAAATGAAAAGATAAAGCATAAAGGTAACATATCCAAGCCCCCAATATTATAAACTCCTCTTTTAAAAAAAGCAAAATAGAAGTTTACTTACATCAAAGCTTAAAACACCAGCTCATCACCAAAAGTTGATTGTGAATATAAAATGCTTAAATCAAACTAAACATCATAGATCTTAAAAGCAAACCAACATATTGTCTGACCAAAAGGAAAAAAAACCCTTCAGCCTCAAAGGGGGAGTAGAACCCTTTGGAACAGACTGCTCCTTGTTATGGACATTCTGATCTGCTACAAGTAAAAATAAAACAGGAAGCCAGCAGCTTGGGGAACAAGATTTCCTGTCACCAACAGCAACAGCCCAAGAACCAAGAGAATCAGCTGTTTGCTTATAACTTTGAACCTCCTCCTAATAGTCAGTGTGTGGCAGCTGTACCTATCTTTGGGGTGCAGAGGTGTTTCCTGAATACTTGTCTACTGTCTAAGGAAATGATTTCCATTCCATTCCTCTGCAAAGTTCCCCCTTTGACTCAACAGGTTTTCTAATCCAAACTCTGGACTTTCCAGTTTAACTTTTCCTTAATGTAAAGGGTATCAGGCACTTTGATGCCAATCTTTAGTAACACAGTGAAAAGAGTTTAGAACAAGAAAGAAGGCAGGAGGTTACAAATAAAAGAATCTTGCAGAGCTCTGTATACCATTCTCTAGATGCCCTTAAAGATTCCCAAATTTCAAAGTTTCTGGAAGAACCAGATATTTGGGATACAGGCAGGAATGACTGGAAACAGTCACTGTGGCTCCTCCCATTAGCAATCATTTGAGTACTTGTTCCAGCTTTTCAAAGGAGCTAAAAGAGCCAGACCACCTTGAAATTCTGTGTTGAATGTGACCACCAACAGGGCATTCCAGGCTTTCCCTCTACAGATTCCAGATGGCTAGGATATGTCAGATTGGGGTTGGGGGGCAAATTCTAACACCTTGGTAGTTTAGCATTTATGCTTTTCCAAGTGCTTTGGGTAAGCAGACACAAATGAAGTTAATTCTATGTCACCTTGGTGGGGTTCACCTGGAGCCAAGTTTTCAAAAGCAAGATGGCTTCCTCTTTCTAAAAGAAGTCAGCTCCTATAAATTGCTAAAAGATACAACAGACGTTTCTGGTAAAAAAAAAAAAAAAAAGAATAAATTGCTAAAAGAGTCAGCTCCCATAACAGCTGGAGAGTTTTCAAGAAACAATAATATGTCAATATCCATTAAGGCAAAACAATTAGAAAAGTATATCTGCTATTTTTAAAAAGCCATTTAATTTGTTTCAAAGCCACTAGAAAGAGACAAGATTCCCTGTTATATGGACTCACTTGCCACCATTGTTCAACTTCCTTTAGATAATCAAGAGTTGGTTATCTTCTGCACAAGATGTATGGAATTATGTATGGTATTAGCCACAACAGTAACTTGACCAAGAAAAGAAAAATCCTACATTCTGGTGAAGATACACTTGGAAATGGGCAAAAAGACTTCCAAGCTCTTAACCCTCTCAATTTAACTGCAAGGTGTAGAAAATGCATGGGCTTTGGAGTTGAGACATACTTGGGTTAGAACCCCAACTCTAACACCTTACTAACATGTGATCTTGGGCAATTTTCCTAGAGACAATAAATAATATAGTGTATATAAAATGCCCACTACCAGGCTAAAAAACAGGTAGTTATTTGTAGTTCCACTGATCCTGGGCAAATCTTCCTATAGAACCAATTCTATTCATTGATAAATATTTAAAAACACTTTTAACCATGGACATATTATGTAGCAGAATGCAATATTCACATAAAAATTTAAAGATGAAACTCTAGACTTCAATAAAATTTAGTGGGTTTTTCCTGGAGTTTGCTCCCAGCTATGCTCCTAGACCTCCTGAACAACATACACTATTTCTCTTCTCCAGTCTCTCATAACTGGGGTCCTCATCTGAACCACAGAATAAAGGAAATGATCAGAGAGACTGCTTTCTCAATTCTCCTGAAGAATGTAAATAACCAGCACCATTTTAGATGCACTGGAGAAAAGTTAATACATTATATACAATGGATGCCTAATGGCATTTGGGTTTAATTGTTCCATGGCACTCTAGTTGAGAAAGGCTTCTCTATCATCAGGAGCACTTTACTTAGAAAACTTGTGGAGCAAGGAGTGTTCAGGAACCACTGAATCAAGGAAGTAAAGGGTCACATTTGCATTTTAGACAAATCATTCTAACATAAGCACAGAAGTTTTATTTGGGCAGGAAAAGGCTGTAGGTAAGAAAACCAATGGGGAAACTCTTCCCAGGCTGAGAAGGAAAGAGCAGGAAGGGAGAGGCTACCACACCACAGCTGACAGATATGAACTGAGAAACCACAGACAGGCTGTAAGGGTGAGTCTAGCCCTTCAGCCCTGCTGCTCTCTCCTTATAGTTTTGTACAGTTATACTCACAAAGTGATAAAATGTATGCTTCTTTTTTTTTTTTTTTTTTTTGAGACAGAGTCTCGCTTTGTTGTCCAGGCTAGAGTGAGTGCCGTGGCGTCAGCCTAGCTCACAGCAACCTCAAACTCCTGGGCTCCAGTGATCCTTCTGCCTCAGCCTCCCGAGTAGCTGGGACTACAGGCATGCGCCACTATGCCCGGCTAATTTTTTATATATATATCAGTTGGCCAATTAATTTCTTTCTATTTATAGTAGAGACGGGGTCTCGCTCTTGCTCAGGCTGGTTTCGAACTCCTGACCTTGAGCAATCCGCCCGCCTCGGCCTCCCAAGAGCTAGGATTACAGGCGTGAGCCACAGCGCCCGGCCAAAATGTATGTTTCTTTATTAAGTGTCATGACAAGAGCTAAATGCTAATGCCAGTGACAGAAATGAAAAGAAAGTGAAGAAAAACAATGAAGTAGTGGCTCTGAGATAGAAAAAGAAATTCTAGGAGGCCAAGGCAGGAGGATTGCTTGAAGCTAGGAGTTCAAGACCAACCTGAGCAATATAGCAATACCCTGTCTCTACAAAAAATACAAAAATTAGCCAGGCATGATGTATGCACCTGTAGTCCTAGCTATGGGAGGCTGAGCCAGGAGGACCACTTGAGCCCGGAAGTTTGAGTTTGCAGTGAACTATGATAATGCCACTGCACTCTAGCCTAGGCAACAGAATAAGACCTTGCCTCAAGAAAAAAAAATTCTAAATTCATGAAAGAGTGCAGTGCTCTGTCTTTCTGGAATCAGTGAAGATCTCTTTCAGTCATCCTTTACTTGATCAGGTAAATTATATGCTATAGCGGTATTTGCTAATTTGGGGATTTGAGGTCTTACCTTGGGGGATGTCACATAGAAGAATTAAATTAGAATCGCTGAGAAGATAAAAGTTACAGGGAAGCAAATTTCAATTTATCTAATTTCTTTTAATTGGAACTGTCCTATAGTACAATGGGTTCTCTTTAGATAAGGTCATAAGTTCCCCCAGCCCCCATCCTTTGGATGACCAGCTAATCAGGCATGTTGGGGGAGAAATTTCTAGAGTGTAAGGTGTTGGAAGGTCAGACTAGATGACTTCTACAATGCCTTCTATATCAAAGATGCTATAATTCTCATTCTGGGTTTTAGTCTCCTGTTCTACAAAATAAAAGGACTAAGCTAAATGATATTTAAGAAGCTTCCCAGCTCTAAAATTTCTGGATTTGTTTCTACCCAAGCTGCCATAACCTCCTCACTCAGCCAACATCAACTTGCATTCTGAACACAAGATCAGAAGCAAGTTTAGGGACTGTAGAGAGGAGTGGATAATGGCCATGAATTAAGCAAACCCCTTCTCCAGGTCTACATTCATCTGGTTACGAGGACAGGTGGAATCTAGAATGGCCCAAGAAGTTCAGATGCAGCGCTAGGGTTAAGTTATTTATACTCCCTAAGAAACTCCCAGATTGATCTGGGAGTTGGCTATGCAAAGAAGTCAAAGGAAAAATTGGCTTTTGGACCAGTTCCAGATATCTAGGCCAGACCCAACCACAAGCCCCATCTTTACCCCTAGCTGGTTTCAGCCTACGGGACTGGAGAATGTATCTGATAACAAATAAAAGACTTTAAGCATCCTTTCCTAGTCATGGCCTGGCAATATACTGATAAGCCTGGACTGTCAGTGCCATGATGGGATTCATGCTTTGAAATGAAAACTGCTTGTGGCTCTTTGAGTTCCCCTCTAACAGTGAGATTCTTCAAGTCTATATAGTTGAAGTTATGAATATTTACACATCATATTTGGTCAGTGTAAAGTCAAAAAGAGACTGTGACATCCACTCTACTTTCTGAACTCCCACAACTCTGCTCCCAACAGCCTGGGGTGGGTGGGGTGAGAGGAAGGTAGTAATAAGGGAGGGCTGCCTGTGAGAGGGAAGAAGTAGGAGGCACTCATCTGCACCTCACAGTCTGAATTCCTGTTATTACCAGGACAGAAGACAGATGACTGCTCATTCTGGAGATGATGTTTATTACTAGCTGTTTATGATAAATAAACAAACAATGCTGCATTTAGAGCCAAGGTTACTGATAACACCTGCAGATTTCTATGGTCACATCCAAAAAGCAAGTATATCTGAGCAATAACCATCACAACAGAAATGCTTCTCAAGGCAGTTCCTCTTTGAAACATCCCCCCAAAACGCTGATCAGCAGTAGCAGGGGATGGAACATGTGGGGATGTTGCATGTGTGCCAATTAGGACTTCTGCTTTCACTTCAGCATTTCCCACTGTTCTATAGTTAACAGCGCATTGGATGGGGGCATATGAGAAGAGGTTTACTTTATGGTTTCCTCTTTCAAGAGACAAATTTCTTTATGTCAAATACTATGCATTCAACAGGGTTCAAGAATTTCAATTGAAAAGCTGAATAATAATTTGACTTCAAATTAACAGACAATATATGGTTATACTGTAATCTAAGTCTGTATACTAAAATGTTTAAAGTATGAATTTACTGTTGCATATAGCAGTCCTCACTATAATGCAGAAACTACAAGAAGGAATGCTTCATTATAGGCTTAAGCACCTACCCACTTCCTGTTGAAATACAGGGTGGGGCTGAACTGACAAATATAACCAGACTGTCTCCAAACACAAGGAATTACTGACAAATGTGTTTAGGTCACTAAAACAATGTCCAAATGAACAAGTAGAACAGAAATGGAACTCCTGGGGTAGAGAGAGAAAGTATCTGACTGTGAGAACCAAGAAAAACAGCTTACTTGTGATCTAAAACCAGGAGAGGGCCAGGCATGGTGGCTCACGCTGTAATCCTTGCACTCTGGGAGGCTGAGGTGGGAGGATCACTCAAGGTCAGGAGTTCAAAACCAGCCTGAGCAAGAGTAAGACCTCGTCTCTACTAAAAATAGAAAGAAATTAATTGGCCAACTAAAAATATATAGAAAAAATTAGCCGGGCATGGTGGCGCATGCCTGTAGTCCCAGCCACTCGGGAGGCTGAGGCAGAAGGATCGCTTAGCCTACCAGTTTGAGGTTGCTGTGAGCTAGGCTGATGCCACAGCACTCTAGCCTGGGCAACAGAGTGAGACTCTGTCTCAAAAAAAAAAAAAAAAATCCAATCATAGCTAGTTTTTTAAAAAATAAATAAATAAATAAAAATAAAAATAAAAAATAATAATAATAAAAATAAAACCAGGAGAAATTTCCAATTTCATCATAAAAGAGTAACACCAACTCTGAGCCTACCTTCAATCAATGTAAGGTTCTTCTTTTTTTTTTGAGACAGAGTCTCACTTTGTTGCCCAGGCTAGAGTGAGTGCTATGGCATCAGCCTAGCTCACAGCAACCTCAAACTCCTGGGCTCAAGCAATCCTGCTGCCTTAGCCTCCCAACTAGCTGGGACTACAGGCATGTGCCACCATGCCCGGCTAATTTTTTTCTATATATTTTAGTTGGCCAATTAATTTCTTTCTATTTATAGTAGAGACGGGGTCTCACTCTTGCTTAGGCTGGTTTTGAACTCCTGACCTCAAGCAATCCACCCGCCTCAGCCTCCCAGAGTGCTAGGATTACAGGCGTGAGCCACCACGCCCAGCCGTAAGGTTCTTCTTATCTTGATTTGGCTTTGAGACAGTAGCCCAGGAAAA